GGCGATTTAGGTCAATTAGATGCGAGCCATGACGATCTGGTCGATTCGGGACGATTAGAGGCGTTCAGGACTACAATCCGACCGATCATTAGATTTAATTCATCGGGGACAATCTTGTCCAGATAGAGCCGACTGGAAAAAACCAGTAGCCGATCATTTTTCAGAGTTCATTGCTCCAGATCTTCCCCCGAATGTATAGGTCAGTGCTCCATAATGCTCGCAGGGTCACGACTTTTTTGCAAAAATGAGGCTGGTCGACCAAAAAATAGATCGGGTACTTTCGGGACCAGAACAATCCTTGGTGAAATGGGGGCATATCTGGTGTTGTAACGAATCCAAAGTCTTTCAATGATAAAAAAAAAAACATTGTGTTGTCCGACATGTATTTCGATTATCCCGTGAATCACTTGCAATTTGCTCACAGTTAATGAAGGAACACAATTGTTTTGTAAGTCTTAAAATCGTATTTACGAAGCAAAGTAACAATTTTGATCATGCACGATGACGTCCTATTAATTCAAAAACTGTTCAGTATATATAATATTATCAAATTAATATAATATTATAATTTTACCTAGACATCTTTTTACTCTTTTTAATAGATTAGTATAAAGATGTAAACAGGATTATAAGGATTCACCAACAAAACTAATTTCCACATTGATGGAGTAATATTCATTAACATGGTTACTTCTTATATGTTTATAATATGGGTATGAGTGATATTTATCCTCAAAAAGTGTGTACAACTTAGTTCAATGTCTTAGCAAAGTAAACAGTTTTTTTTTTTTACTTATATGCATTATTTTGAATTTAAATCGCAGCCTTAAAATAGTACTGTTAGTCTTAGAATGTCTTTACGTTAATAAAAATATAAGCATGAGCCCACACTATGTCTTCAAATTTGTTTTATAGAGGATCATTCTTAGTCAAAAATGTTTCCAATTCTCTTCAAAGGTATATGAAACATTTTTTAAAAAACCTTTTGATTTGCTCAGACAATCTAATTAATATAACACCAAACTTTCGTTCCGTTTTTACGATTGATGTATTTTGTTCACATTGTGTCCGAAGATCACATTCAATATCATCAATACAATTTAGTGGCTTACTAAACATCGTTTGCTTGTTGTCAACATTCCATTTGGTCGTCTGCACGGCCTTGTTGTAAAATGTCCCACTCATATTTTTCAAATAATCATCTATAACAGTGAAACAATAAATGTATACTGACTGTTTTTTTCCGATAAACCATTTGGAATTTGCACACACATAATTATCTGCCTTCCTCTTAGTAACAACAATTTTTATGAGGATTAAAACTATTAAAATCACCAATCAATGCAATCATAACCTTGTTTTTAAATTGAACAATGTCATCCTCTAACTTATCAAAACAAATATACAAATTCAAAACGGAACCTTCTTTCTTTCTTTTTCTTTTAAATTAGGATATCTTCAGTAATTGTAATAAAGGCATTACTCAAATGTCATGCTATTGGAGGAAGATCCTGGCGGCTATGGCACTGTTTTCACTTTTTACCTTAAGGCTAGCGCACACGAGAACTCCCAGCTGAGCAAAATTTCATTCGTGTCTCCCAGCTCAGCTCGCAGCTTTCGTCGGTTTTCCCCGCACACGCTAAGCTTAGAGCTTTCGTAAACGGGGTGTCAGTCATAGACGTCTAAAAATAACTAGAGCACGTGACATTCTCACGTGACAAACAAAATGTCGGACGTCGACAACCCTTCAATGATTCAGAATATGAAGAAATTTTACTTCTTCTTTTGTTGTTGCGTCGTCGCCGACGAAGAATACTTGCAAGCTCTCGTAAGCTACGGATATTCCGGCCATATGTCCACTAACTTGTCTTCGATAATTGCTTCAGATACAAACTCGCATTCACCGATGGGCGCAGCCATTTTTGTTTGATCACGTGCTAGCGCAAAGCGCCCTAGTTCAAAGTTGAAAGCTAAGAGCTTTCGAGTGCGTATACGGTAAGGTATTTTTCATTAAAATATCAAACACGACAGATAATTTCCTTAACACCTTGAATGAAAAAAACCTTAAGTAAACTCCGCGCACACGAGAGCTATGAGCTGAGCTGAGAGGCACGAATGAAATTTTGCTCAGCTGGGAGCTCTCTAGTGTGCTAGCCTTTAATCCAACATTCAGAGAAAAAATATCACGTCCTCATTTTCGGATTTTGCTTTGGAAATGCCCCTTCTTTTTTGTTATTGAAATGTCAATTCATTTTGATCTTTCAATTATACCACATGGCACACAGCAAAGGAATTTTTTCTAGAAATATACTTCCAATATAATGGTATTTTCATGCCCAACTGTGTTACTGGCCAGTCAATGATGAAGCCTATACATGGCCAATTTTTGATAAATGGCCAATGTTTTCCGATGGTCTACTTAGGAATTATGAAGAAAGTTTTTGGTGCCAGCGAGGTCTTGAGATACAAATCTAGCATATTTAAGTGTACAATGCGCAAAAATACTGTTTATTCCTATAATTTCTAAATTATGGCCAATGATGGATATCCAATATGGCGGACTGGCCAGTCAAAGACGAAGCCCCTACATGGCCATATTGGATATCCATCACTGGCCATATTTGAGAAATTATAGGAATAAACAGCATTTTTCCACCTAAATATGTTAGATTGGCATCTCAGGACCTCACTGGCACCAAAAATGTCATTCATAATTCCATAGCAGACCATAGGAAAAAATTGGCCATGTAGGGGCTTCGTCACTGACTAGCCAGTAACACAGTTAGGCATGAAAATACCATTAAAATTGGAATTTTAGCGATATTAACAGGTTGGAAGGCACCATGTGATTGAGTTTCTGCCAATTCCACCCAAAAGTCTGTCCCACCCCCATTACTGTGGACTGTGCAAAAATTGGCCATGTAGGGGCTTCGTCTTTGACTGGCCAGTCCGCCATATTGGATATTCGTCACTGGCGAAAGAAATGTTGATAACTATGTAATGATTCTATTCATTACACGACTTTTTAGAGGCTTTATTTGAATAAGAAATGAATTACAAATTTTTCGTTTTTTGATTTAATTACAACAATTACAATCAATCCAAAAAATTAGTGTATTCATCGGCCACAAAATTTAGCCGGCTACTGAAGTAATGAAGAAGTGTCAATTGTCAATTTCAGGTCAGCCTTTTTACACCTTTCTACAAAATGTCCTTGCGTGCGTGTACGTTCATGTGTTTACTAATTTGAAACTTGTTGTCAAAGTCATGTTATTTGAAGCAATTTCGTGTCCTTAAACTTCATTTGAACCTTTAAGTTGACGTGTTATTTGTTTACACGGCGCATGGATACATGACCTAATTTGCATAGTTATTAACCTGTGCTTCCACTTCATATTGTCTTTATGAACCGGAATACGGAACTGTTGTGTCATATTCAAATTTTTGCTCAGGTTTATTCTGTCTTTTAGTGCCAATTGTAAGAATCGAGGAAATTGTTCTTACCTATCATCAATCAGTATCATCTTATCACCCTTGTGAAATGTGATATCGTTTTCTGTTTTCGCCTTGTAATTCCATAGAGCTGTTAATACTTTACCTTAAACACAACAGTTACACAATTGAAATTAAGGACATTAGATGTGGAAAGTCGTTTGGTGTTTGTTACTTCATCGTTCAGCTGTCAATTACCTTGAAAACGTAAACGATGTTTTTGTTCACTATCAATATAATAACAAGCTAGAACCATCGCCACTATGTTATTATTTCTATTTTGTCTTTCCATATATATTATACTTTTGTCTGATATTGCTTTCCATATAACTGACTTATTATTATTCCTGTCTGACTTCCGGTTGAGAATAAAGTTTATGTTGTTTTCACACTCAGTAATCCTTAATTCTTTAACATCCAAAGAACTGTCGCATGGTAAAGGTACCAAAGCAGTGCGTATCCGAACTACAACGTGAGAAGAAGAAGCTTTTTATACCATTTCACGTTCGGCAGTAAAAAGCCAAATAATTGAATATCAATCAAATTCCTGAAGCAAATTTTAAAATTCAATAATCGGTAACCAAGTATATTTAGCAATCAATAGAAGATTAGAGTCGCATTAAAATTCTACAAATTGAATTTTCGTTATTTAAAGGGGCATTCCGCTTTTTTTGTAAAACATCTTTATTATCAAAACGTCGTAAATTACATCTGAAAATATTTCCTTACTATACTATTAATATGAATGTATCTACTTGATCAAACTGAATTTGTTTTAAAAGGATTAAGTAAAAACGGAGAGTACTATCTGGTAGATAAGCAGTTTGACCTAGTTTAGCTTTTTAAATAACGCGTTATATTAAGTTGAAACCTTTGGAATACGTAAGAGACATAGTTTTCTACAAAAGCATAACGAACTGTAAAAGTTAACGTAATTCCGGAAATTGCAAGTTGAAAAGCGAATAACTTCAAAACCAGACGTGACATCGAAATTTTGAAAATCGATTGTTGTTCACAATTATAATGTCTTGTATATTTTCAAAACAAATCGGAAAAGAATTGTGGAAGTTGAAAATACGCAAAATTATTCAATTTCTATCCTGTAACCATTACTTTAGTATACTAAGGAAAAAAGGTAGATCAAAATCAGTTGACTAATGAAACAAACCGAAAAAATGTCGATCATCATACCTCAGTTCCGCTTGGTGTAAATGGCACTGTTTTAGACAGTCTGTGGCATGTTACATTCTTATACAAGTGGTTGCCTAGCAAGATACGGCCACTTCCCTGATACATTTTCAATATCAAGGGCGGTCACCGTCAAGTCGAACAAAAAATCTAATTTGTACAAGATATTGTTCATTTAAACAAACAAAAAATTAGCAGAGAAATCACTGAATAATCCTAAACATTATGCCATTTTACCGAAACCAATTTTCAAGAAACTGCTAACATGATTAA